CTGCCTGTGGTGTGGGGAGGTGCCTGTTCTCCCCGGGGTCCCCTGGCAGACACCCCCCCCCCCGCAGCCCGTCCCAGGGTGTGAGGTGCAGCCTGTTCTCACCGGGGGTCCCCTGGCAGACACCCTCCCCCCCCGCAGCCCGTCCCAGGGTGTGAGGTGCAGCCTGTTCTCACCGGGGGTCCCCTGGCAGACACCCTCCCCCCCGCAGCCCGTCCCAGGGTGTGGAGGTGCAGCCTTTCTCACCGGGGGTCCCCTGGCAGACACCCTCCCCCCCGCAGCCTGTTCTCACGGGGGGTTGCCACGCAGCCCACCCCCCAGTCGGCGGGGTGGGGTGGGGCGGCTGTGTCTTTCTGAGGAATGCGAGCTTGTCCCCCACCCCCAGGAAGCAGTGCAGCTGGTGAAGGTTCTGCAGAACCTGGACCCCCCGATCTGCATCGACGGGCACACTGTGCTTGTGAACCTCGCCACGGGAAGGAGAAGGTGAGTGGCCGAGAGGCAGCGCTATCCTGGGGCTGTGACTCTTTAGGGCCTCGGCAGTGTACCTGGATCCAAAAGAGAAGCCTCCAGGGCAGGTGCGGGCCAGGTCGTTGGGTACCTGCCTCCGGCTCAGAGGCTGACGTGAGGAGCCCGAGGCTGACAGGCTGCCTGAGGCGTCGGAACGCAAGTGACCAGAGGGTTTGGCCTGTGAGCGTAACCTCCTCGGCCAGTGGCCTTTATGGTAGGAGTCCACCCACCGGCCCATTCCGGAGGAGCCAGCCGCTCCCCTGGGCTGTGCGCACACCTGCCCCCATCTGGCAGGGGAGCAGCCGGGTCAGAGGGCTTCCCTCGCCGTTGTGGCCTGGTCCAGAAGCAAGGGGCTTCAGCTGCAGCAGGAAGGCTGAGGTTGGACACGAGGCCTGTTGGGGGGTGACACACTGAATACGTTGCCTGGGGGCTGTGGAATCTCCCTCCCTGGGGCTATTGAAGAGCAGGTGGGACAGACGCCTGCCAGGGCTGGGCTAGACGGTGCTGGGCCCTGCCAGTTCTAGGCTTCTGTGCTTGAAGATGCTGCGGTCAGACTGAAACTCACCTGGCTTTAACCTGTTTCTCTCCCACTAGAAACGACTACGGGGAGCAGGGCGCCAAACCCTACTACAGCCCAATCTCCCTCCCTGGGGCTATTGAAGAGCAGGTGGGACAGACGCCTGCCAGGGCTGGGCTAGACGGTGCTGGGCCCTGCCAGTTCTAGGCTTCTGTGCTTGAAGATGCTGCGGTCAGACTGAAACTCACCTGGCTTTAACCTGTTTCTCTCCCACTAGAAACGACTACGGGGAGCAGGGCGCCAAACCCTACTACAGCCCGGTAGGTGTGCGCCAGCGCTGCCTCTTGGAGAGGCCCGCTACGGGGGCTCTCGTGGGGGGAGGCTGGGCTG